GTTTCAGATCCTATATGGGGATGGCCGGTGCAGATGACACCCAGCTGAGGGTTGCGATCCCCTTACTGGTCAAAAAAAAAAAAAAAAAAAAAAAAAACCAAACACCTAAAACAGGGAAGTCCAGAGAAAACATCACTTTCCTTCTAAGAGGAAACTTCTCCAAACATACTGTTTTCTTTTCCTCCAGAAAGTGCTAAGAAGGTTAGCTTGTTTGGCCATTTCTTTTGCTTTCTGAAATAATAGTTTTGACTCAAAGAGGTATTTGAAATTATTCTCATCCAATATTCAAAATGTCTATCACTGGCCATGATATAGGGTGACTGAATATTAAAGCTGAAAGAAATCCCCTAGACTATCATAAGACCAAGACAATTTTGCACAGGGAAAATCGGTCCAGAAGTTGGCCAACTGGCTTGGAGCACATAGTTAGGTAGTAACAAATCCAGGACACCAATCTAGGCCTGATGAGTTTCCTTTTTTTTTTTTTTTTTCCTCATCCATTTATTATAATAAAAACTTATTTTACAAAATAACATTTTTTCTTTCTTTTTTTTCTCTTTTACAAAATGATCCATCTGCTTTACTCTTGCTAGCATAACATGTTAATTTTAGAGAATTTGGGAAATAGAAAAGGACTCTTTTTAACCAGAGATATTTGATACTAGAGTGAAACAAATAACAGTAGTTTAATAAGAAACAATATTGATTATCATAAAAATATTTTTTTTGTACATAATTTTAAGAAAATCAATGCACTGGAAGGCTATGTAGATAGACAAATGATCAATTTTTTAAAAAACAGTAAAATGTCCACTTAGGTAAACTGGAAGGAAGTAGAAAGGACGTAAACTGTCTACAGTCTATTGAAAGTATCAAAAACTAAATGTACATACAGTTAAAAGAAAATTAATAAGTAACATTTAATTAAGAAGTTTTGATTGAAAATCTATAATTCATGCCGGACATCCCCAAAGGGAAAGGAACTTGAAACTTAGAAGGATTGAGAGTAACGAAAATAAGTGAATAGGGAACAGAGGGGAAAAAAACTCCAAAAACTGGCTCTTTGGGGAACTGGGACCTTGAAGATAGTGAGAATGAGAGAAAAGCAAGTTATAATATTTGCAAATAAGGAAGTGGTGATGAATGGAGAACACCAGTGACATTTAACAACTGGTCAAAGAAGTCAGCATCAAAAAAATGTAGGGAACGCATTGTTTATTTAGGAAGATGTTGTTTAATTTCAACACATTTGTGAGTTTTCTAAATTTCCTTCTGTTATTGTGGTCAGAGAACATATTTTCTATGATCTTACTATTTAAAAAAAAAAAGAAGAAAAACTTAAACAACAAAAAAAGGTCATGGAAAGATTTGCATTATCTTTCAATTCTATTTTTCCATGAACTTTCTGAACTGCCTTTGTGTTTATATTCTGCTTTATTGATTTCTTTATGTGATTTATATTGCTAAATTTAGATGTTTAATTTCTGTTCTTGATTTCTTTTTATTGAGTGGATTTATTGATTTGTGTAGAAATTAATTTGCCTTTTGATTTGTGTAGAAATTAATTTGCCTTTGAAAAGTTTATTCATCTTCCTCTGTTGAACTTAATTTGATATTTGCATGCTTTCAGAAGTCTTTAGAGAACTATTTCAAATAACTGTAGAGATTATAAAATATGTAAATTTTAATAAATTTTACATCTCCAGTTTTTGTGAAAATGTAAAGCACTACTTTCTACAAAGTATTTTGTTATTCATCTGTTATTCAGTTTATGTATTTGTTATTTTAACAAACAGATATACATATCTTCTTTTTTTAAAAAAGTCCCATTTAAAAATGGTAGATAAATGATGGATATGTTAATTAGCTTGATTTAATCATACCACATTATATACATTCTCAGAACATCACATTGTACCCCACAAATGCATACAACTATAATTTGTCAGAAAGAAAGAAAGAACATCTGGGGCCGGCCCGGTGGCGCACTGCTATAGTGCACCGCTTGGGAAGCACGGTGGCGCTCCCGCCGAGGGTTCAGATCCCACATACAGACCGGCCGCTCACTGGCTGAGCGAGGGGCGGGAGCAACACCGAGGGTTGCGATCCCGTGGCCGGTCCCAGTCCGGTACGGGCGCGACACTGAGGGTTGCGATCCGTTGCCGGTCACGAAAAAAGACAAAAAAGGAAAAAAAAAAAAAAAGAAAGAAAGAAAGAACATCTGAATCTGAAAAAAAAATGTAGGGAATGCCAATTTACAGAAAAATATTTTGGGTTCTAAATATAGTTATGTTATTTCAGGCTTTAAAGCTTCAAATGCCCTTTACTTCAAACATCTGTCTTCTACTTCCTCCCAAGAATGACTGGCAAGAGTTGATTTCAACCAATCAGTGCAATGGGAAAGAAATGGACACCAAAGGTATAAGGGATAATTTGTGGTTTAGATCAGTTAAAATAACAAGTAACAGATTGAAGCTGTTTGACAGGAAAGGTCTTGTTACAATGTTTCATATTGATTTAAATGCCAGCCAATTTTTAGTATGTGCGAAATTCTTACAAATACTTCAGAGAATAAAATTAGGCAATGGGTACAAATAGGTTACTTACAAAAGAAGAAATACAAAAGGATAGTAAAATTACTTTCTACACCACTAGATTATTAAAGAAATCCAAAAGACACAATGAGATTTTTTTTTAGCCCATTAAATTAAAAAATATTAAAAGGTTGATATACTTAGTGTTGCTGAGGATGTGGCAAAATGAGTGACTGCCTACGCTACTGGATAGCAATTTGCAAATATATATGAAAGTATAAAAAGTATGTACTATTTGACCTACCAGTGGGTCAATTATAGAAATTTACCCTAAAAGAATTAATCAGAAATTAGAAAATAAATTATGCTGGTACATCCATATAATGAAATACCATGTAGTCATTATTATGATAATGATTATTCACGAATCCAGAATTGTATTCATGAGATTGTACTGAAAATGAAAACGTTACTAATCAATATGTAGAGTATGACCACATATATAAAAAATTGTGTTTGTAGGCAGAGACTGTCTAGAAATTCACTAAAATATTAAGTGACACTATCTCTGGGATGATTTTTACTTTCATTTTTTATACGAGTTACTATTGTTTAAACATTTCACAAAGAGTAAGTTTCATTTTTTACAGTCAGAAATAAGGAACAAAGCTGATTTTGCTTTAAATATGTAATTAAGAAATTATCCTTTTTACATATTTATCCTTCATGGAGGAAAAAACAAGTGCTATTAGGTAACAAATGGTCTAGCAGAACTCTACAACCAATTTGTCCTTTTCTCACCAATCTGGGTCTGCTCAGAAAGGATTCAAAATAATCACAGTTAAATAAAATAAAAATGACACACGAGTTTCTCTTTATTATATGCACAGAAAGACAGGGGCTTAAACTCCTAAAAAAAAAAAAAATCCACAGCATTTTCCACCCTCATTAACTCAATTTTCAAAGAGTAATTACCATGTTGCAGTTATTATTGAGTTGCACATCAAATCCCTATGAGCTACAACAATTGTGTTCTCAGAAGAAAACAGACCAAATAATAATAGAAATTTAGACAAGGTTTCTAAAGGCATCCCTGAAAGGCAGATGGGAAGCGATAAAAACTTTCTGAATGTGAAATTTCTCTTGTGTAGCTGTTTTTTAAAGTTACCTTAAGAAAAAGCTGGTCTTAGGTTACACTACCCCACCCCTAGAACTTTAGAGACTTTTTTCTACCTTTTTTCGGTCGGTGAGCCTATAGAGGCAGGTCTTTCTACTTTGAGTGCCTTGTAACTTTATTCCAAATACCTTTCCTAGTCTTTCAACCAGCTCCTTACAAGGGCTGTTATCTCTTTACCTAGTGGCAGACTCCCCACACAAGCAGCATCTAGGTACTGTAGGCAGAGTTCC